CAATAGCCTGTGTTTTCTGGTGCCTCCCTGACCAGTAACTGATAGTGAGGTATTCCTGCATCCAGTACTGAGATTTTCATTTAATAACTAGTATCTTCTGGGAGAATTGCCCACACATGCAGGGTACTTACATTCAACTGTCTTTTTTGTATAGCATGTTTTAAAATTAGCTTACCAACTAGTGCATTTCCATAAGACCTCTTTATATATCCTTAGTTTTGGCTAACATACACTTTCCACTCCCCTATTCCCACTTAAAATCTCCCCTTAGGGGCATTATTAAGGATCAAGTGCCTTCTTCCCTAGAGAGAACCATTATCTCTATCTTCTAGCTTTCTGCTGAATAAATATATTAGAAAAGATTTTTTCCAGAATAAATGTAGCAATAAGCTGATACAAAACCAGGTTCATCTGCATAGGAAAGCTAGGGTGTGTAGGCCACTTCAACTTAAATACTGTGTTTACCATTCAATGCAATCTCATTCTATAGCAATGCTTCTCCACCTTTCTAATGCTGCAACCCTTTTAATGCAGTTCCTCATGTTGTGGTGATGCCCAACCATAAAATTATTTTTTGTTGCTACTTCATAACTGTAATTGTGCTACTGTTATGAATCATAATGTAAATATTTTTGGAGAGAGAGGTTTGTCAAAGGGGTTGTGACCCACAGTTTGAGAAGTGCTCTTTACAGTATAGCTAAATTTCACACTTTACAAGTTGCATGATGAACAATCTTTTGGCAAATACAACAGTTTATGGGACATTCTTGAATTCTGTCATCTCAGAATACAAGCCAAAGCTGAAGGAAAACTGACTTCTAGTTGGTATTTGTCTCTTAGCAATGTCTTTCAAGAGAAAAAAAATTAAGTTTATTTATTTCATGTGTATGGACATCTTGCTTGCAATGGTTGTCTGTGCATAGCACTTTCAGAGGCCAGGAGGTGGCATTGGATCCCCTAGGACTGACTAGAGTTCTGAATGGTTGTGAACTGCCAAGTGGGTGCTAGGAATTGAACCCAGGTCCTCTGGAAGAGCATCTGTTGCTCTTAACCCCTGAGCCATCTCTTCAGCATCCAAGAACTTATTTCTGAAGTAGAACCTATCAGTTTAATTTTTCACACATTATATTTGAGGTTTATCTAACTATATTTTTCTCAGTCAGTGTTGTCACACCTCATGCATTGCTTACAAGATTTATCATTAATTTTTCATACCCTGTATTTTAAATTTTCCCCTATATTTTCTCCTTTTGCTTTTCTGAACTTATTTTACTTGAATGCAGCATTTTCTTTTAAGTTTTTCCATTATCAAGCTTTTCCTTTTATCTGGGGAACATAATACATCTTCATCTCTGAGGAGACAACACAGACACAGCTCCTCATTTGCCCATCAAGCCTGGGATGCTCTCTCTTAGAGCTGGCAATAAGCTGATGCAAACCTGGTTTAGTCAGCATAGAGGTCTACTGTGCTGGGAGTCCTTCAACCTAAATACTGTTTATCATCTAAGTCCCCTCTGGAGTGTGGATAAATCTTACGGGCTGTAAGTTATACACAAAACAATTTTGTAGCTAAATACAACATTCTCTGGAACATTCTTCAATCAGTATTTGGTACATGATAGCACTATGTGGATGGTAACACTGGCAGTTAACCAAGGGCCAACACATTAGCTGGAGGAGAGATGCTCGGACCAGCTGGTAATCCTTTCCTCTCTGGAACATCAGAATGAACACATGGTAGGGACATATAATATTCTTTTGCCTCGATCGCTTAGACATAATTCTCGTGATGAACTCTTTTCTGAAAGTCTCCTTGGAAATCTGCTCAGGATTCCATAGACTTCAGTCTGAATCTTGTCCCTCAACTTTGTCCATGTTGTTTTTCATCAACGTCAACATCCTCTGTCACTAGATCAGATATAAAAGGAGACTTTTGAATGGTAATCCCATTTCTAAGAAGTCAAGCCTGTTGACATCTCTATAGGTCTTCCATAAGGACAGGCACTACCTCTTTGGTAGCGTTTCTGAAATATTTTCTTTTAGACTCTTTGGACCTTGCATGAAAAGACTCAATTAAAAAAAAAAAAAGAAAAGAAAAAAAGGAAAAGAAAAAAAAGTTGTCCACTTCCAAGCCAGTAGTCTTCTCTTTGAGATCTTTGTTTTCATGGGACCGTTTTTAACTCTGTCACATACAATACTGACACCTGCTTTCCTCCTTGAATGAAGCAACAGGAAGGCATTAACAAGGCACTGGTCTTCTTCCTCTTCATCACATGTGTAAGTGAAGAACCAGCTGTCGGAAGCGATTGCCAGACTTGTGAAAAACCCTAAGTTAAATAACCAGTGCCTCTCTGTGAATCGCTCCAGTGTAGCTAGCTGAGGTACACGGGATTTGAACAACTGGAGTAATAATAGACTTGTCCAAGGCAATCTCATCAGGCTGCTACCCTCAGAGGTTGTCTTTCTCTAGGGGTAGAATTATTAGGTATGGGAGACCAATTCTTTCAAAACTTCCTATATTCCTGCCTTTAGACAGGAAATCCTGGTTAGACCTGAAATGAAACATTAAAAGGCATTGATTTTAATTGCTACAGACTGAAACAGGTGTCGGGGGAAGGATGGTCTTCTCCCACTCAACAGATGCTTATAGACAGAAAAGCCACTGCCTGAGCACCCTGGGGGAGGGCTGGGGCTTCCCTTAACTGTGCAGCTCAAAGCACACAGCACAGGGCTCTTTCTCATCCCACATCAGCCACTGTGGATGCCCTGACATTACCTGAGACCATGACAGGCACTGAGATCACACTCCTGCTCTCCCATAGTGAGGACCACTCTTCCGTCCTCAGCTGAACAAACAACAAATCACATCTAGCAAAGAAGTGCCAACCCCCACAGAAGGTGAGGAATGAGCCCAAACCTCCATGCCTGAAGGGTGAGGCAGGTGCCAGAGTGAAGAAAACGTAGCAATTACAATCAGCAAGTGTATCGAGGCAGTGAGGACACAAACCTAGTTGCTCGAGATCACTATTGGCAGGTTATCTGATTTTTCTATAAATATCAGAAATCCACATTTTACAGAGGTGGATATACTGTGAGATCTTCTGGTATGGGTATTTAAAAATTTCTGTTAACAAATTAAAAAAAAAAACTAACATAAATAACTGTCCCCTTCCCCTACACAAGCACTCTATGCTCTGCAGTACTGCATAAGCTTATCACACTGTCCCACCGCCCAGAGCCTTATAATGCAGAACTGCTAACAAAGCTGTGTGTTTTGTGAGGTGCAGACAATCTGAGTTTAGAGGCAAGACAATTGCAAAGACACATGAGCTGATTCTAAAAATAGTCTGCAGAAAGAAACGGAGACACTCTATCCCCAAATGTTGTTGGAGTAGCTGGAAGTTTTAAAGAAACTCTTGGCGAGTCAATGGCTATTTTTTGAATGCATAAAGAAAAAAAATCTCAGGAGCATCTGTGCAGCTAGAGGAAATAATTTTACCTCCTGGAAATTTAAAAATGAGCGGATGAGAAAATAAATTCTGCGCTGCCATCAAGAGTTCTTTTGAGGATATTAAAAAGAAATTAAGATCAAGGATAGATTCTGTTGGCACAACTTACTTGATCATGGATAAATATGACCCCAGGTAAGTTGACCGAGCTCTAATATAGTGATATTTCTACCTGGAAATGACAAGACAAGCCCACTTTTCAGGACTGTTGTTGCACAGTTAGTAATAAAAACAGGTCCAAGCACAGTATCCACGTGAGAGGCGCCAGCCACACACCTCGCAAATACTGCACTCTCATGCAGGTAATGTGGATTTGGAGCTGGGGCTCATACCCACATCTGCCCCCACGAATTGAGAAACTAGGGAGGAATGACTTGTTTGTCATTCACTAGTCTATGGGCAAGCAGTTGAGGCTAGCTTTTGGTTCATGTTCCTTTACAGCTCTGACTCAGGAAGTGGTCTGGGAAGAGAGTGCTGCTGGAGGTTCCCCCAAGAGGTCACAGGTTTATGAGTTAGTTGTCTCTTTGTAGTCCTTGCATGGAATGGTGACCTGATTGTCAGGCAAAATTGTGAATAAGTGGCTAACAGTCAGGGGTCTGAGCAAAACAAGGTTGAAAGATTGGTGACAAGAGGGTCTGGCAGTAAAATATGTTCTGGTATGTACAGGGACCCACACAGCCATGTATATACATACACATGTATAGGCACTTGAGTGTGCACGCGCACGCGCGCGCACACACACACACACACACACACACACACACACACACGCACACACACACACACACAGAGTGTAGTAGTCTGGACTTGCAATGAACTAAAATGTCAAAACTTTACTATCGACTACAGTTGATAACAAGTATCTCCTTTTTATTTCTTTTTTAAGGAAATCCTCAAAGTTGGCTATTCCCCACTTTAGAAGACTATAGATACTATGATCTGAAAACAATTCAGTGCTAGAAAGGTAAAAAAAAATACTAATTTTTAACCTTTCTTATGATAGTGACTACAGGATTTTCATTCATCACTCCCACAAATATGCATCCAAGAATTTTTTTCTGTACATATTCAAAGAAAAAAATGGGCAGGGGTATCTTCTTAAGTGCATTAAAATGAATTTTAATAAGCTATTTCAATTTAAGCAAGGAACTTGAATGCCAGATATCAATGTGAAATGACATAAAACAAACACATTACGAACATCCAGAAATCTGGATTTACAATGGGAATGTTGACAGCTTCTAAATCAAACAGCACTCAATCACTAATTTTCTTTGAGGGTAAGATTTGTACCCTGCTGGGCCTATAATTTTGTTTTCTCTTTTTGTGCTGTTCATGTGTAAATATTGCCAATTTCATTTGACACAAAGAAGGAAAACAACTTCATTTTGTTTCTAAGCTAATGAATGGCACAGAGAGTCCCCTCTAGAGGAGGGGTGTGATACAAGTTCCCTGACAAGGATTTGAGGGGGAAAAACAAGCCATTTCAAATGTTTGTAACAAGGAAACAAATTTATTGATTTTTAAAAGACAAGACACCATTTTGTTTTGAAAAACACAAGAAAGCTAGCCTGAGTTCAAGTCTGAAATATTCAGAAAAAATCCTACTAATATCTTTAGTATGTTCCAGTCATTTGTTTAAACAACACACTAAAAGTTAATATATATTTTTATAATTATAAAAGTTCCCCAGTTATTGTACAGTACACAATACAAATCGCCCACAAACTAGTATTTAGCTCCCGCCAATCTTGAGAGGACATGGTATACTAAAAGATTTAGCGTTTCTCACAAAAATCACATCAGGAAATACGTATTTACAAAATCAAATACATTATACAAAAAACCATCACATGTTATTCGGTAAAGATGTTTTTAAATAATTAAAAAGTTTATTCAACTGTAGTCCAAAAACTGGAAAAGAACATTACATTATCTCACACATACAATCTCTACAAAAGTTGCTTACCTCATTTACATAATATATTCAGTCGATTGTAAAATAAATGCTCAAATATCTCCTAGTGTTCCTATGTTGTGTGCTTGTGGGACTGAAGAATGTAATCTGCCACTTACTAAGTGAAATTTAAATGATGGCACTTAAAAAAAATACGGTATTTAAAAAAAACACAATGAAAGAAGTTTTACCTAGAAGGTACGAAAGCCCTGAGTGATAGTGGAGTTACTGATTGGTAAGCGCTACAATTAACCTAATTAAAAGTTTACCACCTCAGGCACAAATTCCCAAGTGTTCTCAAGGCACTCACGTAAGTTTCTGGAAACAACTCATTGGTCACCACCACAGGTCCAAATTGATGATGGAGATGAGCAGAGAAAAGAGTCTGCTTCGGTACAAAAGATGTTTTTAAACGAATAAAATTTAATACCTTCCTTATCAGATCATATAAAATTGAGTATGGTAGGCTAAAACAAGGCAATCATTTGTTCAGAAATGATAATTTATTCCAGGAAAATTTACTTGGTCATCAAAAGTCAATCAGAGTTTTATTTTTGCTTTCCTCCCCAGAATCAAACTTCTCACAGAGATTTGTTATCATCATTATTGAGCTACATAAATGATTCTTACCAAATATTTCATTACTCAGGGCTTCCAATCCCAACGTCATACTTTATGTAAAAGAAAAAAAAAAGAAGGAAAGAAAACAAAGGAAAGAGGGGGAAAAGATTCAAATATCAGAACCAAATAGAAGAGACAAAACATTTCTTTTAAAAAGACGTATCACCAATCCCTTTAAACAAAAGGAGAATCAATCCTAGGCAGTCACTTTGTAAGCGGCTTTTACTATTTAAGTAAAATTGGTAAACTAAACTCAGGTCTACTGGCACATAAAATCACTAGCAGCAATGGGCAAGGCATGCAAACTGAGAAGCATTTACAGTAAATCATCATGAAGATTCAAAAGAGGAGAGCTAAAGTAAAACCCTTTGAGTATTGCATGTTAACACATGAGTCATTTGCATGGTCTGACTTCCTCAACTGCCTAAAAAGCAACGTGCGGACACTTGCACTATGCTACGGATGCCCAGCAGACATCGGAATAGGTTACGCTCCTGTGTGTGCCCAGCGAGGGCGGCGCAGGCACATCTGTAGACAACACCGCTCTGTGTTCTGTCACACAGGGGAGGACCAGATCAACTGTCCAGAAATTCCCTCCAAGAAATCAGCAATGTTGTAAGCAGAATGACATTCAGAGATATCTGAAGCAGCAGTCACAGCAGCTCCTGACAGAAGAGCTTAGAGCAAGTGAGTGCCTTGCTCGACACTCTGTCTCTCTCTGTCTTGTTAGTATTACCATTTTGGAGCATAGGTAAAATTATGCCCCGTATGAATTTCCAAACAATATTTTATGATAGATGCAACTCCAAAGAGCCTAAATGTCCCGAGTTCAGCTGTGTTCAGTGGAACTCATTTCTTCCTAAGGCTTCACTTACACTTGTATTTTCTAAAGCTAAATAAATGAGATCTTTTGTTTTGGGAGAAAAGAAGAAATGTAACCCTTATTTTATCATACCTTTTAAAGGCAATCAGGTACCTCCAGTGTGCAGAAATCAGTTACAACATAGGCCTGCACAGGCCCACGTATGTGTCCTCCTTTTCTAGAGAGTCATGTGATGCTAGAAAAGTTGATTTTCTCTTCTGTAAACAGTACACTTACTTAGATGGCAGTGAATATTTGGGAATAAATATATTAAGCCCTCTTGAAGTAAAATTAAGAGTTGTATATAAAATGCAAGTGTTCGGCATGGAGACACTTTCTTTTCTGACCCCCCTTTAAAAAACAGTGTAATTAGTTAGACATTTGGATATAGAGGCTATTTTACTTTTTTAAGTCTAAATAAATGATCTGAAAGGCTTTCATCCCCCATTGTATATCTTACAATGCTCAAAGGGTTAATACAAGGCATTACAGCAAAGGGCTTTTCTAGGACCAGAACTAAGCACTGAATTAATGCTTCAATTCCAGTCTTTTAAAATCACCAGACTCGCAGAAATACTAGGGTTCTGTTAATGGGTTTGTCTACCATGTACATGGAGGTTGCTCTGATCCAGTCACAGCCCGATGTTCAACAACACTGCATGCCAGCCCTCCTCCCCCATACTCTGATGTGATCCACAGAGATCAGAAGACTTCTGATTTTCGTTTCTGGATAGTTTGGTTTGCTCAAAAGAATTTGGGGAGGGGGAGGTTATGACAAAGTCAATCTGTTATATATAACCACTGCCTTACCTCGTGTACAAATGTGACTAGTCAAGTTTTTCACTTCCTACTGTGTCCATCACAGTGACACACTTTTTTAAAACAGATGTTTCAAGCACAGCATTATTTTAGACATTTCAAATAATAATAATAATAATAATCTTTTAAAAACTGAAAATGCATTAAACACTTCTAGAGAGTGTGTCCATGTAAAAAGGCCCACGATGACAGCATGGAAGCTGTGCTCACCTCTGACTGACAACTACAGCATTCTGCAAGAACATGTTCATTTTTGAACATCTACTACAAATCAAAGGCAGTTAATGTTGCACACTACTAACTTTAGGTATGCAGCGAGAAAACCATTTGTGTATTTTACTTCTGTTTTTAAAGTACACCATCTAAAGAGAGGTGCATGAACCGTGCTATACAGTACAAGGAAAATCACAAAAAGGAACGCAGATTTCTGAAAAGGCAGTAAGACTCATACAGTCAATCCAAACATGATTTGGATACAAATCCTGAAGTTATTAGTAACTTGATATCCAAAGGAAAAAAAATCAAAAACTGGGCCCTGTGTTCCCAGGAGAAAGTTCACCCATTCTACCCATTGTTCACTGGTTTTGGAAGCGCAAATCTCTTGGCTATAATTCTCAAAGTATTTACTGATATTAAACTATACCTATGATACTCACTTGTATTACATGGAAATATCTTTTCTGAAATATACCAATAGCTCATGCACCTCTCTCCCCTTCTCCTCACTGGAAGTGTAGCACTTGGTTCATACTCGTGTATTTCAAGACTAGCATTTGATTACAATGCCAAGAAATACCAGAAGTCCTTAAAATGAGTATTTGTGTCAATCAGTCTACAATGAAGTCTCATTGTAGTGGCTGATACTTAGAAAAGCCAGTTTCAGTGAATGGAAAATGGAAACAAAATGTTAAATGACTACAACAAATTAGATTATTCTAATTTATGCCTGCATTTAATTACTATTTTTGTTTTCTAATATATTTCACAATTCAAATCCAAAATTGATGTGTGTGTAAGTGTGTACTACAAATAATTAGAAGTGTCATAAGCCATAGGTATTCTGTTGTATGTATTGGTTAGACCTATCTACACTGGTGTAAAAGGATTAATCTTCCTAAATATTTATATAAGATTCCAGAATATTTTAGAGTCAGTTCCAACCGTAATAATGCTCATTACGTTCTACTCTGTCCTAATTTAGAACAAACCATGAACAACTGGTAGAAATGTTGAATTCTGGAGGGCCACTCAGTCCCTCACTCTCACGAATCTACATCTGTCCATTGTCAGCAGATTCCTTTCATGATACGAGTATCCCCGACATTAGGTTAAATAAAACAGTGATACAAATACATTCAAAATCAACCAATAAACACAGTGAAACCAGTAAATACATTTGGTCCAATACAGACATGATGTCATCCAAGGATGACCAGTAGAGACAGGAGACTGAAAGACCTCAGGAGGGATAGTTAAAATGAAGAGAGTTATGTTATGATTTAAATTTTATGTGTAAACATTTTCTAACTCACAATGAAGTAGATCCATGGTCTTTTGTAGCGTATGATGGATTATGCAGGGGAGGGGGTTGCAAATTCATTGCCTTTGGGGATCTGCAGTAAATGAAGTGATGCTTGGATGCCAGTGAAGACTCAAGTAAATTGTTCGATATAAAATCAGAATCCACTAAAAATTATATTTATGACATTTTAATTTTACTTCAGAAATGCTATTGATCTTCAGAAGTTTGAGACAATCAATCAGGCAATAACAGTTTCAATACACTGTGTTTCCTGATAAGCCATTTGGTATCTTTAACTTTCCAGAGTGGTGCAGCCTCATCTCCTCAACCATACCCCTCACCCAACATAACTGGAAAGATGAAGTCTTCAGTTTGATATAGGCCTCAGTAGTGATCTATACATCATCTTGTGCTTTCCTTTCCTTTTTTGGCTTTATTGATTTTGTTATTTACTGACTTTCACTGATTTACTTTTATAGTTAGTTAAACGAAAGGATGTGTCCTGTTTTGTTGTTGTTGATGGTTGAGTTCTTAAAAGAACCTTGGCTTTTCATGCAAAATAAAATGTGATGAGCCTGTGCTCTTTAGGATCTCACTTCTGACTGTAGCAGACTCCTGCTCCATGTGTGTGCATGCATGCATGGGTGAATTCCCGTGTGTGTGTGTGTGTGTGTGTGTGTGTGTGTGTGTGTGTGTGTGTGTGTGTGTGTGTTTATACAGAGACACCTGACACACAGACAGACATTTAGACTGAAAAGATGCACTTCAATAAGTACCTGCTTTTTTTGTTAGCTTTCCAGAATTGTAACTAGATAAGAATGGTCTACAACATACGATCTTTATGTAAAATGTTTGTATGAAAACTAGCCTGTTAGTCCACACCCTTAGCAATCTGATTTATAATCAAGTGATATTCAGCTCCAAGGATAAAACATAGACAAGTCCACTCACAGTCACTCAGAGAGAAACTGAAGTTTTTGTCTCTTTGTTTTGCTTCATTTCCCCCTAAATTCCCCTTGAAGAACATGTGACCTGTCCTTACTTCAGGAATCTGAGCATGACAGGCACACTTTACCAAATGGATTGAAGAGTTATTCACACGAACAAAATAAACCTTACTAAACCTTAGCTCAGTTCTGTTTTAAGGCACCATGTAATAGCCGAGGTACGATGATCCCTGATGTACATTCTTCAATGGCAATGGTCCATCCAGCCACCTAGCCAAATCCTATAGAATCGGGGTCAGCAACAGTGAGGTGTGCCAGTCACCCTGCCTTCAGGTTCTGTGTAAAATTGAAATCCATGTACTTTAGAAACCAGGAAATAACAATATGCAGGGCGCTACATTCCTTGCATTCTATACATTTTCTTTTATAATAGCAGCATATTGAACTACTATTAGAAAAAAGACCTGGAATAAAAGAAAGTCATCCAAATGGAATGGTTTCCTGTATGTCCAGCTCAGTATAAGTAGCATGTACACTTAAAAAAAAAAGTCAAGTCATTTTTCAGCTTCAGTATCTAACTATAACAGCCCCACTTAAGAGCAGAATGCATCTGTGCAGTGGTCCCAATACAGAATCAGTAGTCTTTAAACAGAGGAACTGGTATGCGAGTCATAGTTAAAAGTCGATGCCTAACGGAAGCTCGCATTGTTAACATGGTGTAATAGTTATGTGCACAAATTATGTACATATTAGCATAATCTCTTGCCATTCTGTCATTTACCCTGAACTGATAAATGCACAGCTCAATATTCTTCAGAGAAAAATAGATGACCTTCCCAACCCTCTAGCACTATAATAAAAACGCTCTGTATTCTCTCTGTACTCCAAAATGTTATCAAAATAGTGTCTTATGGTTCTGTCCAATGAAAAGCACCTTTCAGAAGCAAATTTGATGCATCTGCTGCCAAATGGGCATGCCTCCAGTGTAAATCAAAGAAATTCATTTCTTTTGATATTTCACAGAAGTGCATCTAATTAAAAAACTTACACATAAAATCATACACCAAGACTAACAATCAACAATAAAATATTTTAAGCTACAAAATGTAAATTACTTTTTAATTATGAGAAAACAAAAACAATGACATTATATGTTGTAAAAATCCTTCTTGACACCTGAAACTAAGGGGAGCGGGGGAGAAACTCATTATTAAAAGGCAAATAATTTGTGTTAAAAAAAAAAAGACCTGGAAAAATACATACACCCATTCCATTCCACAACTCCAAAAAGGTAATGTTCAGCACAGATAGACTTTTGACAACAGTCAACCTTCAGGCTTGTTAGACTTTCAGCTTAAGCCCAGTATCAGTGGGTTAAAGGCGCTGGAAAAACGGTTTTCCTGCTGCCGTTAGACTGCGGTGTAGGTGTTGCCCGTGGCGCTGCACTGCCTGATGGTCTGAGTGCTCGTGACGATGTGCTCACTGTGGATGGGGCTCAGGAGGCTGGGCTGCACACCACTCTCCAGGACTGGCGGCATGCAGCCGACAGGGAAGGCCTGGTTCAGCTCTGTTTTCTCTCTTTTGGCCTGAGGCTCAGAAGAATCATCCAGGTCTTCATCCATCTCACTTTCTACTTCACTGCCTTCATCTGCACAAACACATACCACCGGAAAACATCAACACACACGTCAGAGTCATCTGAGCATACCGGCTCCCTCAGAAACCTCAGCTTTCCCTAGGGGAGGAAGCTTAGAGGCTTTCCTCTCCTGGGATTTTCTTCCCCTCAGTGCTACAGTGAGACAGCCACAATTCTTTCGGATGTTTGGAATTTTATATAAAATTTCTGTATTGAATAATGGCATAATTTGTGACATCATAAAGTAGTTACTTTGGCATATTAAACTGGTCTTGGGGGAGGGCACACAAAAATTTAGACTATGTTTTGTCTATGCTGACTTAATGTAGATGAGGCCTGTGCTGTTCCACAGAAAACCTTACTGCACTATGACTCATGATATTACCACTGTGTAACTATTGCTCTACAGACAGCTAACACCAATTGAATAAATTCTTAATTCATATGCTAAGAAAAAGCTAAATAATGAAGTGGTAATGTGAGATTTAAAAAAATGCACAAAGGACTTCTTTGCTGGCAGCATGAATACTGTAAATACTTGCAATTCATTTCTGGAAATTAAATATATAAAACATTCACTTTTGCTCCCAAATTTTATTACATTGATATAACTCATTTTGTGGAAAAAACCCCACAAAACTTCATGTTCCATTTGTAGCCTGGGGAAGTCCCAGGGTTAGGGGTAAATAGAACCAGCTGTACCCCTTCAAAAAGGTGATGGCAGATCACAATTTCATGCCTCCACTCTCCAAAGTGAAAAACAATCAAAACCATATAGCAAGCAGTAGCAAGAGGGCAAACTCCATGTGAGCAGGCCAGGGATGGGAAGAGTGGAGGGTCCTGTTATCCATCTTGTAGATAGAAATACCCCTGAGAGAACAGTCTGAGCACACTCAACAGTTCTCGATCCGTCTGATTGGGTCTGTCTTCTCTGAGTGACAGGGCTCCTTAGGCTTGGCAACAGCGCAATCTGGAAAGAAGCAAGCCCTTCCTTTCTCCAGCTCCTCAGGACAACACTGAACTCTATAGACATCTGTGCTCCTTTCTGTGAACCCACTTGAGTTCAGTTACACAAAAGCTACAGTGAGGTGCTCTTGGGGTTGACCAAATTCTTTCCTTCTCCACTTCATGAAGACTGGAGGGAAGTAACCACCCACCTATTTTCCTGAAGGTTAGTTACTACTGCAATTCCACAGGTTGTACCTCCGAAGCAATAACATGCTGGGAGAGTCTAACTTTCTAATTTACCTGCTCTGGTACTAAAATGGAAATTAAGCCAAGAACAGTAGTAATAGCAACTTGTCAGAGAGGGATATCCAAACATGGTGATGATAGAAACATGGCTCTAGCATAATGCTTTCTGCTCAACAGACACAGAGGGGCACACTGGAAACCACGGGCAGCACACTTGGGAAAAGAGTGCTGCATCTCTTTATCTCTTTGTAGACTCCCAAGCCCTTCCTTTGGCCTTAGTTTCTCTAGAGGCTCTGGTTAGAAGGTATGGCTGTAGTTCTCCCTAGAAAATCCAATAACTATAACAGTTCCTCAAGTTCCAAGCAAGAAGATGGCTATATTTACTGTGGTGTTGTTTTACTGAAAGACATGTTACGATTTAAAACTGCATCATCATTTTCATAATTTGTTCTTATAAAGTCGGGTAGGAATTGTGTGTTCTAGTCTCACTCAACCCACCTTTGACCCTCCTATTCTTTTATTGCATTGTCTTATTGACCATTAGGCTCTTCAGGAGTGCACATCGTGCATACGCAGCAGCACACACTCGATTGACAATGCCAGCGTTGATCTCTTTATCCTTCTCAACTGAACCACTACTGTGGCTTTACAGTAAACATCACTGTTCTTTTCCATTGAAAAGTTAACTGACTAGTAGATGGGTAAGCTAAGGGATCTTTTCCTTGCCTGGCCTTGAATAAAAACCTCTGGTCCAATATTAGAATTTTCTTCCAGGATTTTGGTCAAGGTCAATAATTGTTATTTATATTGAACTTCTGTGAGAAAGTTTAAAGACGTTTGGGACTGCATTGAAATTCACTTTTCTGCATCCAATACACATCACATGAAGAAGACACATGGATGGAAGAAACAAACAGCAACATCATGAGGGATGCCAAGGACAGCTGGCTCCTGCTGTCACCCGGGTCTGCTTGCTACATCCAGAGGATCAGAGTGCTGTACAGTCACGCTGCTTCCTCTCACAGGATCTCAGTCAAAAAGTCCTTCAAAGTTTTCAGTTCTTACCTTTATCCAGATTTCCAGGAGACACAGCATTTAAATCACCGAACTGCAGAATAACAGACAGTTGTGCAATAGTTACTACTTGACAGAATAAAAGAACACTCTATCAGTCTGTGGTAAAAACACCACTCCATGACTTTTTAAAAGTGTGAACTGCTGACCATTTTGATCTCTAACTAGAAAGGCCACACAATTTTCCAATCCAATGTGTCAAATTTGAAGTTTAAAATATGTCGTGCTCGAGCTGCCTTCACCTCTCTGAGAGAGGATAACAATTTTCTTTGGCTTCCATGCTCCGTTTTACTTTTATTTCAATTCAGCAATGAAGAAACGGGCCTGGTTGACCTGGATGGTGATGGGTGTGATGAAATGGATTTGGAAAAGCCCCCATCAAGCAGTATACACCAGCTCCTCTCCCCCTGCTCGGCCAGTGAGTCCGGCTGGGGCCTTCCTTAAGGCTGGAGCATGGTGTATTGGTCGTGGGGACACCTCAGCAGTGAGAGGGATGAATATAATGCGAGCTCCAGAGATGAAATATTCTTTATCTCACATTTTAAAATTTGAACCTTCTCTAAATTAATTAATGCTCTTATTTACCAAGGTACGAAGGCCCCATTTTTTAAAAAAGGAAAGGCATTTGCTACAGGCAACGTGAACAAGAGTTCTCAGCACTGTGGAACAATTAATAGCCATGGGCATAGATGTTCCTTTCTACTTTGGCTCAATAGCTTGATGATAATTTAACAGCAAGAAAGTACATTTTGAGTCTCTCAGGGGGAACAAAGATAGATACACTAAATAAAAAACTGACTAGCAGAGGTACAAAGCTAATCCAAAAGAAGTGAAGTGAAACGCAAAGCATCTGCTTTTAGAAAGGATTCCACAGTATTTTTTTTCAAAGTAGTTATTAGAAATTCAGATTTCTCAACAGACTTAAAAAGGATGAGACAGAAATTCTACTTACATTCGGAAGTTTGCTTATAAAGAGTTCCATGATAGGAGTATATTTTTCATCTACAAGGTATGTCTATAAAGTAATAAAACTGATCTTATTTTGCAAACATGTACATGTTGTTTCTTTTTCCACCTAAACAAACATTACCTTCCACAGTAGCTACCTCAGGAGCTTATACATTTATTCCAAGGTAAGGGTTCTGGAATATTCCTCTTTGACAGTCACTTTCAGAGTAAGTTTATGCATAATTCCAGAAAGTTCATACTGCCATCTCACTTCCAATTATGACTCCATATTTTTGTTCACTACACTTGGTCTTGGACATTCTTATTTTCTTATAAAGAGTTCCATATTCTAATCAAATTCATCTTTGCCACAGTTCAGGATATTATAATAATACATCCTTTTACTCCTTATGGTTCTTAGCGTTACAACAGAAGATTAAGGAGAGGCATTCTACCTCATGGCTAAGCCACTGTAAGCGACTTTATTGGAATAAATGCGTAGCTTTTCCAGGTGTCTGCTTCTAAGGGAAGGGGCCTCCTCAACTTGTAACTCCTCCTCCATTTGCTGGAGATGCCATCCTACTACTTCACAGCTGAATCTGACTGGGCAACAAAATCCTAGCTGCTAAATTGTTATTTGAAGAGAATCCCAAGTACATGGGTCCAAACCCTGTGTACACTTAAATAAAATTCAAACCATAAATTATATATGATTTTGAATCACAGAATTTAAAATAAGCAACAAATATTCCAGGAATTTTTTTTTATCCACCTTGGGTCTTAGTTAAACATTTGGGACGGTAGACAGAGAATGTTCAAAACTGAGGATCGTTATATTATTTCTGATTGAAAGCACATTTGGATTTTCATTTAATAACTCATGGGATCCAGTTCTTGAAATAAACTGGCAGTCATGACTCTAAGCACAATCTGCTTATACAAAGGTGAGGACAGGTTGTGTATCCCTGATCTAAATGCTTGGGAGCAAAAGGGTTTCAAATTTCTGAATTTTTTCAACTGTTAGAATATTTGCAAACATATGATGATTATGGATGGGACCTAAATGTAAACGTAAAATTCATTTGTTTCATATATAATTTATATACCTAGTCTGATGGCAATCTTAGACAGTATTTTAATGTACATGATTTTTGAGTGTAACCCATCACATGAAGTTAGGGGTGGTTGACACTTGTAGTTTTATAGTGGCACTCAAAAATGTCATATTTTGAAATATTTTTAATTTTTGGATTATGGTGGTTCAAATGATATTGTATTTGTTAATTAAAATAACCTTAAAGTCATTTGATACTATATGCAAAGGTTTTCTTTAGAATGTTTCTGCTTAACTTGGATGTGTTTGACTATTCATAACACTGAAAATAAAACCCCCAAAACCTGAAACCACCTCTTGTTACAATCATTAGCAAAATAGCATTCACACACACCAAGTGCTTTTCAAAAGGCCCTGTGCTAGATGATGTACAAAGAGCAGCAAAGACACTACCCATGCCCTTACATATCTCTGGGATTAATGACAAAATTCTACACACACAGCAAATGAAGACAATAAATGAGAAATCACAGAATCCAATGAAGAAGTGAAGGTATTTTACTAGCCTAAGGAGAGCTTTTTTTAATATGGATTTCACATGTGAGAAGAATATACATGTATGCGTGCACACACACACACACACACACACACACACACACACACACACACACACGATAAATAATAGGGGGAATTAATTTCAAACCTATAGTTAGGCTGGGGTAAGATTCAGAGTCAGTCTATCTGTTCATTTATTCAACATTTAATGAGCACTTACTACAATTGAACACTGCCCCAAACCAGTATCAGTCAGATCAATTTGGAAACTGCTCTTATGGAAGTACCTGCAAGAAGTTGCTTCTGGTATGAAGGCTAGCAGGAAAATGAGGCAGCCCAAGAAACCTCAGGGGTCAAAACGAGAACTGGAAATCAACTGCATGGGCTTAAGGTTCGAGCAGCTGATCAAATAAGCAGTAGAAAGGCATGAGAGGCACCGAGAAGAGAAGCATGGAGAGCGGGCAGATGACATGGACCTGCATCAGACCAGAAGAGAAGGGAGCCATACAAGGCATGGATAGAAATTAACAGGGCGGGGGGCCTCCTGAAAAAGCCCAGGTTTTGTAAAGCTCTAGTTCCAGAAACTGGTGAAGCTCCTTTTGTAGAGTTTTCCTGCTGTAGGAAGGACCGGAGCAGAGAGGAGCTACTATATATTGACGTGAGAGCACGTACAGAGTGCATTTCTTAGTGTGGCCTCGGGGTCACTTTCTCAATGCACTTTCTTGAAGAAGTCTTTCCCAGCTCTATCTGAAGTTCCTCATTCCCCACTGCTCCCAGTCACTGGACCAGTCACTTGCTTCACAGGGTCTTCTGCAGGAACCTGCAGTGCTGAATGTGTCTGCTCATCTAGTTTGTGTTCTAACTGTAACACTGGTGCCACAGCATGAGGACTGTGTCCTGTCACCAATTCATTCCAAACCTTAGTGTGGTGCCCGATACACACAGTGAAGAGTACATAAATGCTTACCAAACACATGCACTTATTCCTTCATTTCAGCCTCCCAGACAAAACTTAGGAATTTGTCAAGGCAGAGGAACTGGATTCGTCCCATAACTATGGAAAACAGGGAGTTGATTTGACTACCACCACATAGAACATATGTGATGTTACATTTGAGGTCAGGTATTTTCATCTTAAAGCCATGAGGGAGAAACAGATTTGGGGGGAGGGTCAGTGAAAGGGGATAAAGAGATCTCACATTTCACTAAGGAATATAAATGTATAAATGAAGGGATTTAAAAAGAGCTCTTGTAGAAAGTGCATGGCATTCATTACACACAGGAATTAAAATCATGTCAACCAGATGAACAGGAAGTTCTGTAAAGTCAGAACCAGCATGGATTACAGACAGGCATTGCATGGATGACAGGCAGAAGCCGCCTCTACTAGCTCTGTTGTGTTTGAAGAGAAAGACTTCTTGTCTGAGAAACCATTTCCTGTAGATCCTAACCAGAGATCCCAATACTGAATCCCCCTGAGAGGCACAGAAGCCCAAGAGAATATCTAAGCAGTGCAGCTGGCAGCCTGGCAGCCTGGCAGCTCACAGTGGGAGCAACAATGGCTACAAAGCACAAGTGGGAAGCAGGACAGCATGCCCAGGGCACTCCTCAGTGGGTCTCTGAGAAGCCTAGAGTAGGAGCCTGATAGCAACCAAGTAGTTGAAGAGTAGTTCTTTGCAGGATGCAGAGGCTTCATGTAACTAAGAAGTTTACTAGGATCACAGAGGTGAGAACTGTCAGTTACTCAAGGTAGTCAGTCCAGAGAGTGAAGTAGAAACTGAAATTGAGAATGTTAAAATTTATGGGTTCGAAGACGAGAGCACCTTTAAGTTCCTCATCCAATGAAGGCCTAGAGAGCAACTCTAACATTGCAGCCACACAGTAAGGGATAGGATAGCCTGGTTTGTGAGCACCATTGCATGGTTCCATGAGGTCTACCCTGTACAGAGGATACTGTCAGATACCCAGGCCATATATACAGCAGAATCCAAACCTGGTGTTAGCACAGGCCTGGTAAGCATTCCCACTAACTGACCTTGAACGTCAGCAGCTGACAGGCCATGGGGTGAGGAAAGCTCCAGCTAGAAGCTTCTTCCTCCATGAGTGTCAGCTGTGGTAGGGGATGTCTACATAGACTCAGGATGAGGGCATGTTGGCCTATGGTGCAGGCTAGTGCTCCAAGTAGCTGCAACTTCACATACACACATATGGGAAGATAATGTGGATGTATACATATATATGCATATCTGGCTAGCTATTGGGGATCAAAATCTAATAGGCACCAAAAGCACATTCATTATAAAAGTCTCTGCCACCCCCATTTGTTTTGTTGTTGTTTGTTTTTGTTTTTTGAGACAGGGTCTCTCTATGTAGCCCTGGCTGTCCTGGAACTCACTACTTAAATCAGGCTGACCTCGAACTCAGAATCCACCTGCCTCTCCCTCCTGGGTACTGGGATTAACTATGAAATTCTCTAAACATGGTTTCTACTTGCTCATTGGAACAAGATACCTTTGTCTTTTCTTGTTCATTGTGAGAAAGAATCTCATGCAGCCCAGGTTAGTCTTGAACTCACTATTTATCTGAAGTTGGCCTTGAACTTTCTGCCTCCTGCCTCTACCTTCCAAGTGCTGAGATTATAGGTATATGCTCCCATGCCACTCTGTCATTTAGTTTGCAGAATCTGTACTGACTCCTCTCCTTACTCCTGCCATTTTACAATCATGTGGGAAACCTTTCAATCATTCCTATTAGTCAACATTGAACTCAAGCTTAGCTATGACTGTCTAGACCTCATTGTATCGATGCTCCTCCCTAACTCTGGTGTTTTCTTTCTAATTGACTTATTTTCCCAGTCTACTTAGTTAGTTGTGTTTTTCAAATCTCTGAATTAATTTGCCTCTGATTATCACTTTGGCTACATACCAAAGAATGCTGCTGGATTCTTTGTAATTCTATGGATTATTTGATTCAGTATTCAAAGTCTGTGGGCTATTTTTCTGTTACAATACAGTATTATTAAAGCCTGCATTATGCTTTGTTATCTTTTCTGTTTATTTTAGGGCCTGAGTTCACCTTTGTTGGTCCAAAAAGTGATGGTCTAATTATACAAATTATTGCTTGAGATTATAAGTACATAATCAATTAAATCTTAATGAAAGACAATCAAATACAATCTTGGGCAATGCATAGAATTTCAATATTTATAAACGTATGCAAAAAGGGATGGGAATGGAAGTAAGTGTTTACTATGTGTCTGTCTGCCTCTCTCTCTATCCTATCTACCTCACAATGCCAGCACTGGGCATCTGGCTGCTGGGCTCTGACAGTGTAGACCTCACAGCATCCCAGAGTAGTGCTACACAAGCAAGCTTTTTAAGGTCGTTGCTGCTGCAGCTGGTCATGTGGGGGTGGTACTCATGAGCCTGTCTGGAGGACAAGGCTGTACCCTACTCCTC